GTCCATTCCGGTGTAATTTTCCCATGCCACGGATGTGCTCGAGTTGCGTTGTTGAACAGGGCAGCGCCACGAGAGAATGGAATGCTCATTCAGCTTCACTGAAGCGACACTCAACAAAGTCTAGCTCACCGACCCCACACGCCTCGCGAACAAGGTGAACCGTATGGTCTTCGCAACACAAATACAGTCCCAGCAGCCGAAACACAACTCCCCCCCCCCCTTCAAACAGAGAGCTCCAATTCTGTAATGAGACGCGAGAGGCCATTGCCGTTTGAATTTGTTCTTTATTTAACGAAGCCGCACGTTAAATGCACAACATATTTGGTTGTGCGCGATCATCCGAAAGCACGGGCGTGGCTGGTGGTGGGATACGCGCACTGTGGAGGCAAGGCTTGGTGGATCCCACGAAGATTGTTAAACTCCCCTCCCGTGGGCAAACACAGGTGCCGCCAAAGGGGGGCACAGCAAATGTGGCCACCTTAATAGAGGGACTGCAGAACTGGCGGGTGGGGGGGGGGGTACGCCGGCCCATCACCTGGTTGTCTGTAGTGTATTGTGCTTCTTAAGCACTCGAGGAGTGTATTTTAAGTAAATTTAATATAAAATGATATAAACCACCATGAAAGTAGAATATGAAGTTGGGTTGCGCTGTGACAAAGCACCCTTTTGATTACAAAAAAAACTTAACGATTAGGGATTCACTCAAGCTCTTCTAGTTCACGATTTCTACCTCGTGGGAATTCAGCAACGTCCATCCTGTAAAAAAAAAAACCCCTGTTCCTTAAAAAATTAATTCGGAGTCCACCATCGGTTTGGGAAAAATAACCAGCGTCAGAATGGAGGCACCGTTAGTATTTGGGTAATTTTACTCACGTATTAGTCCAATGCAGTGGTTCGTAATTTTTGCTGTAGTCTAGGTAAAAAAAAAAGAAGAGTAATAGGTTTTTACCCTTTCAACTGGTACAAAAAACTGACACCTTTATACAAGACATCATGTTTGCAATAACCACAACACAAGCAGTCAAAATGCAAACAAAAAGAAACAACTCTGATAATGATATGCACTGTCCTTAAAGTTGATTGGTCCACACCCGAGACAGCTTTTCTTAGAGCCTAGTCTCCATTGGTGTTGGACCAGATGACGCCAAAAGGCGTACAACTCAAAAACAGTGCACTATCAGAGTATTGAGAGCTCAGGGTAAAGCATTTACACTATGAGACATCTCCTTTACCAGTGGCAAAATATAGTAGTACGTTTTTACCCTTTCAACTGGTACAAATAACTGACACCTTTATACAAGGCAACTCTGATAATTATCATTATCAGAGTTGTTTCTTTTTGTTTGCATTTTGACTGCTTGTGTTGTGGATATTGCAAACATGATACCTTGTATAAAGGTGTCAGTTTTTTGTACCAGTTGAAAGGGTAAAAACCTATTACTATATTTCGCCACTGGTAAATGGAAAAAAAAAGAATGTTAATCAACAGGAAGGTTTGTTTAAACAAAACAGTTGTACTTACGTGCCCCGTGCTTAAATTGTTTTCGAGGAGTTACCTTTTTTAAAAATCTGGGCATGTCTCACACTCCCACAAAGGGCAACTCACACCCCCAGGGGTGCGTGCGCAGCCCAGGTTAAGAATCTTTGGCCTTTCGATTTAAAGCTTTCGTGACTGCAGGGATTCATCTTCTTGGACTTTACCGAAAGAACCAAGAAGATGAATCTTTGGCCTACGTGATCATGAGAGTGATGAGAGTTCTTAGGTCCTAGATGGGCTGGAAAGTTGACACTTGTCACAAATCGTCCGTAGTTTGAACCGGTAGAATCACAAAGCACTGAATTTTAGATTTTCGGCACCTATAAACCACAACCCATACGTTTGTACAACCTCATGCGTGCAGGACGGATTGCAACGTCACTTAGAATGCCGTTAAAGTGAACCTTTTCAGTAGTGGCACAAAAACCAAACACACCATTGCAAGCGAGCTCAGTTTTACGATAACACATTGGTACATCGTTTTTTCTCCAAAATTAGTCATTCAAAACATTGCCTTAAAGAGGGGGGGTGGATCGAAAATATTTCAATGGCCCTTCTTGATAACTTGATAACACGTGCAGTGAAGGATTGTTCTGGGCAATGACCCTTCCCCGAGCAAATGCCAACCATTGCCCATTACACATTTTACTTCTAAGGCAGCGTGAATGATGTACAGTAATTGGTGCTTGCCTATCAGTCCCAATTAAGTATTACGAGATTCCTTTTCTTTTCAATGTCTTCCTTTTGAGTTGAGCGCGTAAAACCTGTTAACCGAGGAAGGGGCTTGTTTACACCCCCCCCCCCTTGAGGGTGGAGCATCGCGTCTGTCCTCCAGGGCCATCGAAAAGGGCTGTTCGGCTGCCACCACATGGACGTACATGGTGATAACAACCACGGTAACAAACATCACCCCTGTGTAGCCTGAACAGACTTGGACAAGTGCTGTTAGCGAGCACCTATGAAGGCTGGCACGGCACACGAAGAGTTGAGTGGCCAACAGTGGCGATGTTAACACACACTGCACCAGGTACTCATTTGAGGCTGAGTCGACCACGGGGAGGACCATGACCGGTTCAGATAATCGTCATTGGTGTTGGCTGTGACCGGGAATCGAACTCGGGTCGCCGTGTTTGCGGTGCAGAGCATTAACCCGGCTACACTACCGCTCCCATCGCAACCAATGTCACAGGTAGCGAACTCGGAAGCGATCCACAGCGAGAAATTCATTGGAACGTGTTCATTAAATTATATTGCAATAAAATAATATATATTGTGACGCTCCGTTGGCAGATGTGTGCAAGCACAAAGACAATGGCCCTTCATCTGTCCTCTTTTCCTAAGGCAGTGTTTTGACGGAAACGTGTTGAGTTTTTTGCCTTAAAATGTAACTTTCCATCTTGCGTTGTGGATTTTTAGAAGGGTCCTGTATTTCTTAAAAGCAGGTTCATAGAATAGGGCAGATTCAGTGATTTACCGAGTGCTGTTATCACATCCGATTTTCGAAATGCACTAAGTCTCACTTAAAAATGTATCACCTATTTGTTTTTGCAATTCAAAGAACTTTGGAAAAGCTTTCACTGGGGAAATTAAAATGTTGCACCTTGTCAGCAAGTTTGTGCACCACTCAATGTTTCAGAAGACATCTTGCCTGGCTTACAATTTATCTTAAATGATTTTACTTCGTGCCAGGCAATGGCACACGCCGTTGTAATCTAGAACTGATGCGAGGGGCTGGTGAAACACAATATTGCAAAACTGCTTTCCTGTGTGTTGTCACCATACCCTGGCAGTATAGCAAGGGGATCTCTATGGGTTTCAATCTGGACTGGGTGGGACATCTTCCCACCTCGCACGTGTGGGTTTCTGCCAGACAATCGGATTGCCTCCGAATTACAAACTAATTAACCCTTTCCCATTTCCTGGTTACGTACGCACACGTAATTGGAACAGAACCGTAGGGAAAAAAACTAAAATAACTATCAGTACTGTACCGAGAATCTCACAAGGCCATGTGGAATGGCGGGCAGCAGTTTGGCTTGTTCACTGTGGCGAGTACAAGGTCGTTAAAAAAAGGCGCTATGCCTTAATAAAATGCCAACCCCGCTTGCGCGTTCCAAGATTCAGCGGGGAACAGAACCCACGCTTGCAGACGTCTCGGAGCGGATTAAAATTGGCCAAACATGTCTTCATATAAATATTGAGCGTGGGTAATTGTTGAGACTGGTTCAACGGCTGGCTGCTTTTCAGCTCGGCTGTCTCCTTGCGCCCACGTTGATCTCTCGAAAGAAAACATATTTGCTTAAAACATGTATCTTAATACATATTTATAAGCATGGTCTCTCCTCGAGAGAGCAAAACCTGTGAACGTGTTACAGGTCAAAATTATTGTCATGTCCTTAAAAGACAAACTTCCTAGACATCACATGCCTCGCCAACACAATGACCTGTGATCAAATACTTTGATGCTGGACACAATGACAAATTGAGACCACACGCTTGGGATTAAGCAATCACATTATAAAAATAAATAATTTATTATAAATATATGCAAACAAAAGTATTCAATTGCATTTAAAGCATACGAATTGAAATCCCCACTTTAACAAATGAAACAATCTAACATCCCTTCAATCAGCTGTCTTACGTTTACATTTTCACATGGAGTGGGGTTGTTGTTTTTTTGTGCAGTCATGCCACTTCTAACATGCCAAAGTTGCGTTTTTTACTTGTGTATTGGAGTTGCTGAGACAATAATTTAACTTTTTTTTTACATTACCAATCCATGCATTACACAACTTGTAACACTTAAAAACACAATTCACGACAAACACAACGGACCTAATGGCTTACCCTGTTATGGAGTTGACCAGTTTCTCAAGTCCAGTGCCGACAGCTTCACTCCAAACCTAAGAAAAATGTCATTTCCACTCGGGTATTAAAAGTAGAAATGAGAGGACATGCACGTCCTGGTGGACAAAAAACGAAAGAGGAAAGCATCCCTGTAAACTTACCAACTCAAGCCTGTTACTGGCTTTTGTGGATATAAATATCAATAGCTTCCTGCACTCTGAAAAAAAATGCCTGAGGCCAACACCTGGGATTTTTCTTCTTCCTCTCATTGCACTCCTTCCCTCAACAAAGAGACTGCTTGCGCATTTCTTCCTTCCGGGCCAAGCTGCCTGCTGCTTTCCTCCCTCGTGCTGCCGTTGTGGGGTCGGGTCCCGTGTCTGCCGCTTCTGCACTGTGTGGGGGCTGCCGACTTCCTCAGCACGGTTTTCCTTGCTGTAGAGATTCCTCACTTGCCTTCGGGCGCGCGCCACGTTGAAAACGGGGGGGGGGGGGGGACGACGACATTCCAACCACTCTCGCAGCCAGGGGGACGAACTGTGAGCGCCGCCTCTCTCAATTCTCTTAGCTTCACCGACTACTCAATCAAACCAAAAACTTAAACGTACTTCAGAAGTTGTTGTCTACAGCTTTATTTCACTTTTGTACAAAACATAATTCTTCACAGCAAATGCATTGCCAACTTACTCATCTTGCAATACATCCATGGAAAAAAAACAGATACTGCACTCAAACCTGTTGTCTATTGCATGTGTATATGGCCTACATTAACATGCACCACTAACATCTGAATTACATGATCATAAACTTGTTCGATAAAAAGACAAATCGTGGCAAAACCCTGACTTTAAAAAAGAAAAATCTGAGAATTTCAGACACAAATGTAGCCATGATACATGATTTTAGTCTTGCTACCTGTCCTGCGTCTTGACTCACTTTGCTTACTGCAGGATTATTTCCTGCCTCTATGCGCTGTCTGCCACTCCCTGGACTGTCAGAACCCCTGACGCTGTCCTTCCAAGTCAGCTCAGCCTCCCTTATTTATGGTACATTGGATGCCTGCAGAATAGAGAAATATGGTTACACAAATCAATATGCATGCAAGATGGGGGAAAAAATGGGCTACACACGGAAATTAACAGACAAGGTTGTAAACGCACTTAAGTGGCAATAAAAGACGCACGTAAGATTGTGTAAAAAAAAAAATTCTGGAAAATTTAGAATGTATCCTGTGAAGAGGGTGAATTGATAGATGTGCATTCACATTATAGAGTCTGGAAAAAAACAAATCGTACCTTTCGGGGGGAAATGAAGCAGCTCTAATATCGGTTGCGTCCACTTCTATATCCTCCGCCATCGCTCCCCGAGGAACCATAGCCACCTGAAAAAATGAGCAACAAATAATTTACTTCAACACCCAACTCCAACTCAGAGGGAAACGCATTCAAATGACGTGAAAAACTGCTTCTACATGGTGTGAGAACTCAATCACTTCACACATGGTAATACTTCAATTTCAAAAGACGTCAAGGCACTCTAAATATTTCTAAGACAATACAATGGTTTGAGTCTGATAGTGATTATATGGCAAAAGCCAATGCTCAATAAAACTGAATTTGTCAAAATAATAGGTTAACAGAGGAGGAATAACTGCGTGTGGCGGTCGGCGCAATTTGAACAATTTTCGAAAACCATTGTAATATGGCACTTGACAATGTTGATGTAAATGAAATCTTCCTATAAATGGCACTGGAGACCGATTAACACTAATGCATTACTGAACAAACATATCTCACCTCCGTAGGGACCGCCACCGCTCCTGGGGCCACTGTAACTGCCACTGCTCCCACCACCACCATCACCACCGTGGCCTCCCTTCAAAGGGCCGTAATGCGAATGTCCCTGGCTGCTGTAGTTGCCAAAGTCGTTGAAATTGCTGCCGCCGCCACCGCCGCCTCCAAAGTTACCTGCAAGAGCGACTGTTCCTGTACTGGTCTGACTTGCTACATCGCCTTAATGACAAAAAGAAACAGTGGTTTTAGGCTATGGCTAATACACATTGGACTATCAGACACCAGGTTTTTTCTTTTTTTTATCCAGACCGAATTTGCAAATCCCCTGGGTTACATCTGCCTGATGATAACGGAGCCCTTATTTAAGACGTCACACTTACCACCACCACCGTAGTTGCCGCCGCCGCCGCCGCCCCCGCCGCCGCCGTGCTGGTTATAGCCACCTCCTCCACCGCTGTAGCTCCCGCCGCCTCCATATCCGCTGCCTCCGCCTCCATATCCGCTGCCTCCACCGCCACCACCATAATTGCCACCCCCATGCCCACCCCCGCCGCCTTGTCCACCACCACCCCCACCATGTCCACCCCCACCATGTCCACCACCATGTCCACCACTATGTCCACCCCCGTACCCACCTCCCCCACCCCCACCTCCATGTCCTCCACCCCCATAACCACCACCCCCATGTCCACTCCCTCCATAACCACCACCACCACCCCCATGTCCACCATGTCCACCATAACCACCACCACCTCCTTGGTAGTTTCCTCCACCACCACCACCATAGCTTCCGCCTCCTCCTCCTCCTCCATGGTTGCCATAGCCTCCACCACCCATGTTTCCCCCATAGCCACCTCCTCCTCCTTGGTTCCCAAAGCCGCCGCCGCCACCACCACCAAAGCCCCCTCCTCCTCCTCCATAGCCACCACCTCCCTGGTTGCCATAGCCGCCACCGCCGCCAAAACCGCCTCTACCGCCCCCACCATATCCACCACCTCCTCCGCCGCCAAAGTTTCCACCTGTGACAAAGAAAAAAAATACTATTCAAGAAATTACATAATATGTAAATATGTACATAATAACACGACTTGTTGTCAGGGTATTCCCACTACAAGTCGGCTATGGGAGTTGTTTGACCATGCTGGTCATTGCAGGCTGGTTAAGGGGGGGGGAGATACCAGGACCAGTCAAGATATCACTCACTTGAATTGTTCGCAACATGTGCAATGCCCTAGCTCCGTTTACAAATCCACTACTTACTTCGACTGCAGGAAATTCGAAGTGACAAAAAAATAACGCTGTGTGCACACGATTGTTCAGATGCTTTACTCACCATCACAACCGTTGAAATCTCCGCCTCCGTAATTTCCCCGACCAAAACCTGCCCAATAGACAAAAGCCATTTATATTTGTGTCAACTTGGAAAACTGATTTACATTAAAACGGGGATACAAGACACTAACGCTATCATTCAAGAGGACAAACACTTGTATAAAATATTGACCGAGGAACAAACGAGCGCAAACTCTGCAAATGACTTACCACCGCCCCTTCCACCAGGAGGACCAAAATCTCTGTTAAATCCTCCTCGGCCTGACCAAAAAAAATCGCATAAACGAATAAGCATCGAATATTAAGCACAATGTAACATATGTATCTTCACACAAATAATAAGACTTACCTCTGCCGTAATTTTGCAACTCTTGCTTGGGAAGGGCTTTTCTGATTTCACAGTTGTGTCCGTTGATGGTGTGATATTTTTGAACTGGAGATGAAATGAAAAAGCACAATTAATGATGAACATTGCATTTCTACACATGCCACCAGTATAAAGAATTAAAATGAGGAAAACACATAAAGAGACTTACCAACAATTTTATCCACGGGGTCATGGTCATTGAAGGTAACAAAGGCAAAGCCTCTCTTTTTTCCAGATTCCCTCTCCGTCATAACTTCAACAATCTCAATCCTCCCATACTTTTCAAAGTAATCTCGCAAATGTTCTTCATCGGTATCATCTTTGATTCCACCAACAAAGATCTTCTTAACAGACAAGTGAGCTCCAGGTCGCATCGAGTCCTGCAATAAAAATGAGTTTTGAGGTCCTGGTAAAAAAAAATCTCAAAAGCAAACGTTTCTAGAATTGCAATATCAAGATGGACAAACGCTAAAGCATAATTTGAGGATGTATTTGTGATGGAGTATCAATCTTCATTTTTGCCTGGAAAGCTGCAGAGAAAAACAAATTTGGCAAGCACCAACAAGTCCGGGATTGTATGTAGAACTTCTTTCGAACTACACGTAGCATTGTTGGGCTATGTACAGTGTGAAAGAAGTTCAACATGCATACCAACACTAAACACAAAAGGCAGTTCTAAAGAAATGAGTTCTAAATCTAGATTTTTAAAAAGTTCATTAGCTCCAGTGGCTTCCTAATGTCATAAGAGTGTTCTGGATGAAGCAAACAAGTGGACCCACCCAACCTCACCACCACTCCTTACCTCTCGTGACACTGCCCGCTTCGGCTCCACCATTCGCCCATCGATCTTGTGAGGCCGGCCAGACATTGCTGCGTCAACCTCTGACATGCTCGAAAAGGTCACGAAGCCAAAGCCCCTCGACCGCTTGGATTGTGTGTCCTTCATGACCTGAAACAAACACCAACAAAACTAAATGGTTAAAAAGTGCACCGTTATTTCGTCAAATAACAGGCAAATGCTTACGAATAGCATGCACGGCCCCTAAGGGCAGTAGAACGAATGTACGTACCACACAGTCGGTGAGGATTCCCCATTGCTCAAAGTACTGCCGGAGGCCCTCTTCTGTCGTCTCAAAGCTAAGCCCTCCAACGAACAGTTTGCGGAACTGCTCTGGCTCACGTTCCTGGGTGGAAAGAATAAACTCGAACCATTAGAAAGACACGTTCGACATATGCTTTATACAGAAACTGCAAGACAATGCCAGTGTTGGAAAGTCATGACGTTTAAGCAATATGAAAGCAGAACATGCCATTTAAATACCTTATGCATTTAAGGCAGTGCGCTTTCGTGATTAATCTCGAGATCATTTAGTGCATTGTGAAATAAACACGTACGTTAAAAGCAAAGTGTAATCAGTGCTATAAGTACGTAAAAACGCTCAGCTTTTTTCTCCATTTTTAAGTGGGACGGAGGTCTTGAATGCATTTCGCCCCGGAACGTGTGCTCTGAACTTTCAGCACCCTCATCGATATCCCAGGAATCCTCATGAAACTAGTGGCCAAAAAAAACCAAAACGTACATTTAGGTTAACTGTCCAACGTGTATCCCTCACCATAATTACAGTTGATCTTTGTTCCTGTGCTTAAAACTATGCGTTTTAATGCGCCATCGTTACGATGTGAAATGCATTTCAAGTTTGATAATCGAACACTCCACCCCCCCCCCCCCCTTTGGCTTGCAAACGTGCAGTCCATTCTGTCATCAAAGCGCCTTTCTACAAGGTACTAACATCGATTTTTCTTTGCTGACCGGCACGGAACCTATACATCTTATACACGGTGTTTGTTCATCCAAAGACTATCTTTGAGAGCGTACAATTGGGGTGTAATTTGGCCAGAGGGGGCTCACAGCGCTGGACCAATTATCAACATGTACGGATTTCCACGTGTAAGGGTTAACACCAATAGCCTAATACGTTGGGTGTTGACGGTGAATCACGGTTGTGAATAATTAACACGGAATTGACGACATTGATGATTGTAAGATAATCGGGGAAAAAACAATGTCCATCACGAAGTGTGGTCCATGGTGATGCCCCCCCCCCACCCACTGGGAGTCTTCAACCTTACAAACAGAAGCCAATTGCGCAATTACGACCCGATATTACACAACATATAACACACGATTCACATAATCGCATCCGTTATCTGGCACCAGACGGCAAATTGGTGATGAATGCGAGCCAGAACCCAAAGACTTGCACACAACGCGCGGACGAAATCGAATGAATGAACGCACCCAGGGGTTGTTGTGGTTGGTAAACACAGTGGCAAGGCTGCGGGCGCCGTGTAATTGCAGTCACTCAACGAGGGTATTATAGATAACGGATGGGCTGACCGACAGGGGTGGATAGACAACCACATCGTTAAACAGGGGGGGGGGGGCAGCGCGGCAAATGGACGCTCTCGGCACAACACGCAACCCGAGCACTTTACAGGCGGGAAGTGCCACAACCAACAACGCCGGCTCCTGGCAAACGCCGAGTCCGAGATCCACGTGCGCTCATTAAAACGCCGCTCCATCCCGCCTCGACGTCTCAGGCCATTGATATCCATTGCGAGATCCGCTCCGCTGACCAACAACCACCAACACCACCACCACGGACCGCCATGTCGGCCTGAGGCCCTCTCCTCCTTCGAGCCGACAACCCGGGGCCACGCTCACATCTCTCTCATCTCCAACCTCGATGTCCCACCATCGCGTCTCCCCGCACGCCCCGCGTTCAGTAAACCTCTCCTCGAAGCACGGGTCGGATTATATATCGATCTCTCTCTCTCTCGCCCGCGAACAGCGGCGCCAAGCCACAGAGGGAGTTTCAATCGAGAACAGCACGCGGTCCTTCCCCATCCATCCATCCCACGACCAGTGCCTGCCCACACCTCCCCGTCCCCTCATGCGCATTTCCCTTAGTCCACCACCCTCGTGGGTTCAACCCCGCGATGGTGGTGGACTAAGCTCCGGTGCCCAGCTCTGACCGTGGCGTCTGCCACACTCTCACCTCCATGGTACAAAATGTCGGCCAGGTGGTGGGCAATGGTGGTGGTGGTGGCAACGGACGGGCTCGGGGGGGGGGGGGTGTCAACTCCCGCCTCTTCGCCTTATATATGCACGGCACGCCACGCCCTGCGAGTGCGCGATTGGGCGAGGACAGCCGACACGTGACCCCCGCGTCGACCAATGGCGGGCGCGGATTTCACCCCCCTCCTCCCCTCCTCCCCCTCCTCTTCCCCATTTTTTTGGCGCCATTTGGCGTCGCCGCGCACCGGAAGCGGAAACGGACGACCACTTCCGCCGTCGCTCCGCGTGTGAGAGAATAAAAACATTTTTGGTAACAAATTAAATTAAAATTTTAAAAAAAAACTCCTGAGTCGCTTGCCAAGTTGCAATCGCCGCGGGGGGTGGTGGTGGTAGCGAGTGCCCGGGGGGAGGCAGAGGAGGTCCGCTGCTGCGAGCGTAAAAAAAAGTGTTCCCGTCCTCCTCCCCGTGAGCTTTTGACGTTCGAGGCTTTGCCGCCGTCGTCGTCGTCGTGGTTTTTTTTGGCGCGTAGCGGGAAGGCGGCAGACTCTCACCCACCCACCCACGTCCGCCCGTCCGTCCGTCCGTCTCATTCATTCCCGGAGCGAGCAGCAAAGCGGCTGGACCGCCCCCAATGTAAGCCACAGCGCGCCCCTTGCTTCTACGGTCGTCCCCGCGGGAGGGAAGCCCCGCGCGGCCTCGTTTGCTGGAATGGCGCGGCGGCGGCGTCGTTGTTGTTGCTGCCGCGGCCACGTTTTGTGTTGTGTACGCGCGGTGTGTGGGTGGTTAGGTTGACGGGTGTGAGGGGGACATGGCCGTTCGAAGCTTTTGCCGCTCACGACGACGAATCGAGGCGTATTGGGGCGCCCCGTGCCCGGGGTCTCGAGGGTAGGGAGAGAGAAAGGGGGGCCCCACTTCGTGGTCCGGCGGGGCCCTGAGGGGAGGGAAACCCAGGCGAGTCTCGACGCTGCTGGCGAGATCCAACACGAGGACATGGGACGATTGCAGAGGGGAAAAACACCACAAATTAACCCTTGAGTTGGCGTCCAGTTCGGCAGGCTCGTGTGTCGATTTGGGGGGTAGGTGATGAAGGGGAATTTTGAGGCCTCGTTTGGTTTCGCTGCTCAACGAAAGGTGGACAATTTGCTTTAAACATCTCGGCTCAGCAACCCACGTTGTCTGCTACTCTTAATAGATGAGTGCACAACCTACACTGCACGAGTTCAGGGTAAATTGCACCTGGTTTTTGTTATACAGAACCGACTAGCGGGATTGCAGCCCCGCCACGCGGGTGCCCTCTTGCCTGGAGTCTGCTGCCTATCCGCTTGAGGCGCCTCTTGCCCGGACCAAGGGTGGCACAGTCGGGTTTAATTGTCTTTTTATATTAAACCCGATCATCTGAGATTGGGAGAAATCCGGTTTAATTGGTTCTAATTGCGGCATCCGAGCGGAACTTCTCAGCGTTGGTGTACGGTGCTTTTTTCTGGATTTTTTGCTGTTTTTCCCCCCTAGATTTTCAGTTTTCACATAGTCATATAGTAACTTTAAGATGTTTTCTTGTTCATGCTTTTGTTTTGTTTGTTGCGGTTGCACCCGATTCAAGAGCCGAATGGCTCACATGGCTTTACTAATAAATGAACGTGAACTTTACGGGCTTCATCCATTCCAAGCTAAGGAACTCACTGGCGCCAACGATTGTGGAGAAGCTCGTGTTCATCAAGACCAACCTGCCCGCATTCTACGACTACCCCGTGCCCGACGGCCCCGAGTACGATAGCACCGACGAGGAAGCAGCCTAAGCCTTGGATCAGAGTTTCGTATTCATTAAACCAGGTTTTAATTCCCCGAAATCGGGTTTAATTGTATGAAAGAAAAAACTCGATGCCTGCCGCTGGAAAAATCGTTTTTTTTTCCACCCATGCTTGTTGCTCCATCAACGGGGCAACCGAAACTGTGGGACCATACAGAGTACCGTACAACTTAACCGCAATAGTTATGCGCTCCTTTAACGGAGGAGGGAATGGCAAGACGATATGATCTCACGTAGCCTTTCTCGTCGTGGATATCAGACCTCGGACATTGGCACTTAGCTCCCCGAAAGGGAACAGTATTTGCTCTACGCCAGGATGAGAACAGAGGCCGAGGAGAATGCCGTGTAAAACATTGCTGGTCCAAACTCCAGCTACGGGCCGAGTGGAGTGATTGATTGAGATGATGGAGCCAAACAATTAGGGGGGGCTTGGTGGTGGAGAAGCTGGGAAGAAGATTTCCTTGCTGGTGGTGGCGCCACCCAGAAGCGTGGAACGTTTTAAAATCGCAATGCATATTCTTGGTTCTTTCGGTAAAGTTGCGTCGAAGGGAAATAATAAAATAATACAAATATAAAACAATAAAAATTATCACGACGTTTCGACTGCAACACAAGCAATCATCATCAGGTGTTGCTGTGGACTTCACACCTGATGATGATTGCTTGTGTTGCAGTGGAAACGTGAGAAGTTTTATTGTTTTATATTTGTATTATTTTATTATTTCCCTTCTACGAGACTTTACCGAAAGAACCAAGAATATGAATCCCTGCAGTCACGAAAGCTTTACATCAAGATTTAGCGCAATGCATGTTTACATTATTGTGTTTATGCATACGTCAGTGATACGTAGGGAGTTATGGTTTTTTTGTGGTTATTGCATCGTCAAACACACTTTTAAAAAAATGGTAACGGGTGTATTTTAATACTCGTCATGATGATTTGCATCTCAACAAAGTTGGCGTATTGTATGCAATTTGTGTTTAATGTAACGTTTGAGTGTGGGCGGACTTTTGGGGGCGGGGGGGGGGGCACAGACAGGCAATGTCCCTCTCCCAAAACTGGACGCCTTTATTAAGTAATTTTCAATAGTTTACAATTAAGATTTTAAAACACGAATTAAGCACCCGCGATTCCTAACGTGAGGGACAAACTTAATCCCCCCCTGAAATGTAGAAGTCAAACTCCGCTGATGCATTTGAGCCCCACGAATAATCTGTAAATTGGCAAAATGTTGTCTTCGTTGAAATATTGGAACGTGAATGTAACGTGTATGTGTGTTATTGCCGTGTGTGAATGTGCACGTGAAATGGCTTCAGCCACGTGTGTTTTTGTTTGCCGTGGAGTGGGGCTCTTTTCGCATATTCATGGGCTTACGATGTCAACACTGTAGGTTATTCACTCCGGAATGTAATAATGGGAGTTTTCTGTGGTTAATTCTAGAATGTTCTGAGCCCCACCCACCGATCAAAGTAGTTTAAGCTCATGCTCCTGAAAACCTGGGCATGCAGGATTCCGATTGGCTGTTTAGTTGCAATCGTTGAAGGTTGAAGTTAACTCTCCAATTTTTAATTATACAAGCATGAATCTGGAATTCTTAAGTTAATTCTACCCGCAACTCTTGGAGGAACGAAATATTGTATGTGCCAGACTTGAGGATATGCGTATTATCGTGAAAGCAGATGGGGCATCGGTCGAGAGGATCGTCGTTGGAACATTGTGTGTCCCCTCTGCAGAGAATGTGCACTGCATTGAGGAGGGAAACGTTGGAACATGATACAATAAAACATAGTTTCCCCCCGTGTGTTGTCTTTGCATTTGGCAACATAAGCACGTCATCGTGTCAGTGGGCTGGGAGGGGTTAAGTTGATGCTTGTTAAATATGGTTGCACCCCACTCCTGAATTATCCCGCTATTTTGAGTTATAAAAAAAGAAAGTCCAATTGTGTGGTGTACTTCTAACCACGTGTGAAATGTGCTTGTTCAATGGGTGCAGTTACAATGGGAAAACAGAAGACCAGAAAGGAGAAGAGCGATCCGGATCCTCCCGTCGAGGAGGAGTATGTAGTGGAGAAGGTCATGGACCGCAGGGTGGTGAAGGGAAAGGTGGAGTACTTTCTCAAGTGGAAGGGATTCACAGAGTAAGTCTTATAAAGAAAAAATATAATTAATTTGCCACTTCTGTTGGTGGCTAATGCTGTTATAGTCTCCCCCAGAAAGTCACCGAGGCTCAAGATGCTTTCAGGAGATCGCTGCATCTCCATGTTTGGTTAATTGCATTAACGAGTGGCTTTTTTTGTGTGTAACCGAAACATATATAAAATCTCCCCAAATAACACTTGTAAGCCGCCACACAATCGTATTCATGCATGTATGTTTAACTTTCGTACTGTACGTAGCCAACCATGCTAATCGAAGGTGCGAGGAAGGACAAACTAAACACAACGTTCAATCAATATACCCAATATATTGCTTGTATGTGAAGACTTTAGTACATTTCTGAACTGCCATACTCTCTGCCTATAACAAATGATATTCCGTGACAGACTCCCATCCAAGAACTGAACCGACTTAATTCTGCTTATCTTCTAAGGTTGCCAAAATTCGGCACGTGCAGGTTCAGATGGACAAACCTTGCGAGTCCATGTAGCACTGCCACTCCAGCAGGGAGGCTGATGACAATACCAGCAGTGAATACACATCTAATCCTGGGCACAATTCCAACCATTTAACATGAAAAGGCTGTGTTAGCAGTGGTGCACAAGTATCACTTGCAAAAAACACGTGGGCCACCCTTGAAAACTTGTTGTGACCATATCACAGTATTTAACATTCTCAATGAGCTGTATCTCTAAGCAGTATGTGTCACTCATGTATACACTCTAAACACATTAATGCTGCATCACATTCACTAGATGCAGTTATTGGTGGTCGTAGTGCCCTTATTACACATTACAATTGCTATCAGTCGTGTCCCACTTGCCACTAGTGTGGTACAATACAGAAATTATGTCGTTGCTGGTGGAGTGCATTAATCTTCATATTTTTGAATAAGACAATTCTCATCAGTTATCCAGTGGCATGTCAACTCGAACAGACAAAACTCAATGCCACATAACAATCAAATGATGCAGTCCCCGAGATACGAACGTCCCATTTGCGAACATCTGTACTTACAAATTAACCACCATAAGATGTTATGTATTTTACCATCCGACTTGCGAATTTTCGGTCATACTACCGAACCGCAGAACAATTTTTTGTCAGTGGAGCGATTCTCCATGAAATATAATGAGTCCCAGCATCCTAGAAATGCCACTTATGATAAACAATCTAGTATCAGGGCTGGAGGTGAGTGAAATAAAAACTGATTTTTTTTTCTAGAACATGCTGCTTTATTTGTTTTATTTGCTATGCAGCATTAGAGTATTGCATGCATATGTACAGTATTTCTCCTTATGATTTTAACAATGCTTTTTTAAAATTATAACACATTTAGAAACGGGTCTCGGGAATGTACCACGTTTGTAGGTCGATGACTGCCGGTATATAGTGGACTATTTGGGATAAAAGGCCCTTTTCTCGCATAGACAGGGGAGCACTTTGAGCCATACGAAGGTCTGAGGTGCTGAACAAGACATTGAGCGATACTTCTGTTTATTTATACCCCAAACCCACTTTTACAATTAAAATGAGAGAGAGACCCTCTGCAACCTAAAATCTTGAAGCTTTTTGACCGTTTAGAGTTGGTCAGACACAACTAATTGAATAGGTTAACATAGATAAGTAATTTAATTGCATTACAGCACTAATAATCAAAAGTACTTTTTGATTGGAGTGGGATATCAAAGAAAGCCTAACAAACTGAAGATACTGTTTGGTAGTAGCGTTATATAAAAACTGACTCGATCTGTCTACCCTTGTTTTTGTCTAGGGAGGATAACACATGGGAGCCCGAGGAGAACCTGGACTGCCCGGACCTAATTTCGGAGTACCTGGGCACGAGCAAGGGCAAGCAGCAGGTGTCTGAGGACAAGGCCGAGGGCATCAAACGGAAATCTACCTCCCTCAATGGCACTGGAGATAACAAGCCCAAGAAAAAAAAAGAGGCAGGAAAGGTATTTGTCAGAAACACGACTTAAGTTTCAAAGACCCATGCGTATGTTGATTATTCTTTCACACAGTACGTAGCCAACCGTGGTAATCGGGAGTGTGGGGTAAGGAAAACAAACTTAACACATTCCGAGTCAAATGACCTAGTCTCCTGATTTGAATACAAACTCATTTGGGCAATAGAAGTTTCCAAAGTGCACACATATAGTCTGACTACTGTAATTCAAATGCGGTTCTCCGGGAATGTCTCACAGTGTATTCTTTACAAAAGATTTGTGTGCATCACCTGGTTACAAAAGAAAGCACGTGGTTTCCAAATAATATAGTCCTGCAGCACTTGTTTAAAGTCGGACTGCCAGTTATTGTAACTAGTTGTCATAGTGTAGTTAAAAGTATGTATAAATGAGTTAAAAGTTATTGCAAAGGATCCAAATGCAGTGACAATTTAAATAACCATGTATAAATAGTGCCGTTATAATAGTGTTGGCCAATTTGTTCACATTGGCAGACTATTGGATTTTGTGAACTTGCTATCAAGAGAGCTTAATTATGTCCCAATATTGGGGTTAGTGTAATCTATTTGGTCAATGGAAAAAGACATGACCTATAACCTTGAAAATTGATCCATATGGCCTGAAATAACAAGTAATTACTTTACCCTACTTGAAGTCATTCGTCAAAATTACCACGTGAAAAAAGACTGTTTTACAATTTATCCAACTGTAGAATATGGAAATTATACCCAGAGTAATCCTGATTTGATATGGTAGCTTTGACATGTTAAAATATATTCTGTACTTCTTAGTTCATTCTACGTCTTTGAATTTACACTGAGAAATTAAATACTACTGTGATATGTGTATTTTAAATAGTTGTTTTAATTTGTTACATACACACTGCTAGTATTGTTCTTGCAAAATATCCATTTTGCCCGACTTCAACTGTTCACGTTAATGTGAGTATTTACAATTCTCACTTTAGAATTACCTCTTTGAAAACATATCAAGACAAACCCTTAGTAGTTTGTTTACATACTAATAAGGTATGTACAAATGATTGGCTATATTGCACATATATTTAATTGCATTGAATGTATCCTTTTTGTAATTAAAGAAAAAGTAAAATAGCAAATAATTAGTAATAATTTTATCAGAATGTGAATTTGTGGTTTAAGTATTAAAATAACATTTCCTGCAAGGAAGGTTATATAAACAAATGTTTAAAGAAATGCAAACAGTGATACCGTTTGTGCTTGACAATATAAAATGTAGTTTCCGCTAACTTAAACCAAGGCTGTTTCCTACTGATGGTATTTGTTATTCTCCTTTTAAGGTCGGTCAAGAGATTGGATTTTCTCGGGGGTTGGAGCCCGAGAGAATAATCGGTGCCACGGACTCCAGTGGAGAGCTGATGTTCCTCATGAAATGGTACGTCTGTGAACACAGATACATTTACATGTAGTTGAAGCTCATGCGTGTGCTGTCTTATGCTGACTTGTGGTTTTAAGTAATTTTTTATCACATAAATTTACAACCCTAGAAATTACATTGAGGCTGCATTAATACCAGAATAGTTGTATTGGTGACACAATAACCTTTGTTGCCAAATTATTCCCAACCTTTGCTTTACGTGTGGTGTAAAATGTGGTATACTGCTGCTGCCAGATGGTGCTCTGAATGCGGTTCGTGTGAAACTAAAGGGGGCACGTGAATTAAAGACGATCCTGTCTGACTTTTCCGCAAATGTAGGAAAGGCTCGGACGAGGCTGATCTCGTCCCAGCCAAGGAGGCCAACACGCGTTGCCCGCAGATCGTCATCTCCTTCTACGAGGAGCGACTCACCTGGCATGCATACCCTGACGACGACGCGGATAACGCCAAGGAGGACAAAGCCTAGGCCATGGCGCGGGTGACTGGGCATCCCGAATCGATGCAAACAACAAAAGCGCCGTTTCCCGTTCTTAAGATACTGATAATCTACACAACAAATACACCGTAACGTTTCAGGTCATAATTGATGATGAGGGTTTTTTGGTATGTCGTAAAATAAAAATAAAATACATGTTTTATGAAGAAGAAAAAAAGTTAAGTTTTCGTGTAGTAGTTTTTTTATTGGTCAGGAGAACTTTTGAAGTAATTTTAGTGCACCCAATAATCCTCCACGCATACAATGGTCGTGAACTGTGTCGGCGCTTTGGAAAATAAAAATGCTGGTTTTTGCAAGTACTATATGTGCACAAAAGTGGTGTGCTGCTGAGTAGGAAGGAGGGCATGCTCACACATAAAGGACGTTATTCTGTCGTGGCACAGTGCTTGCTGAGGAGCAGGTCCCTCCCCGTATTCTAGATTTGAAGCTTTCGTGACTGCAAGGATTCATACTTTTAGGTTTTTTTGGGAAAGTCAATAGGTAAAATAATAAATGAAAATAACTAAATTAAATCACGACATTTTGGAAGCAACACAAGCCTCGGTCATCAGGTGTAACTGCTACAGTAACCCTCCCCGTATGTTGCTCGAGAACCGAGTTCAATTTGTGAGCTGCTCTACTATGCCAAGGGGCTATGTTTTTGTTAAATTGTGCAGCACTGATAAACGTGATAAAAAATAAAATAACTTTCCCAAATGATGTTTTAGAGCAATGTATGCTTATGGAATGTCATCACAAGATGAGCTGGTGTGACACGCAAATAATGGCTACATCTAAAGTGATGCATACTTTTTGTTCGAATATTTTAAATCAATAAAGTTTAGTCCACATAGAGCCAAACTTTATATTTTGATTGATGGTTGCTTAGTTGGGGAGTGAGCACATTTGTCTGAAACATGTTCCTTTTAACTGCTAATGCAACTGAAGTGTTTGAACACATTGCATATTAACATGTCCACTCAAATCGTGCTCAAATTTTCTGAAAATAGCTTTTGTCCATTCAAACATTTCCAGATATATAGAGGGACCTGCACTCAAGTCAGCTGCTTTTTTTTTAAACCCTGTCATTATCTTAGCCCACCTGAGCTGCATTGGGATCTCGAAAAATTGTGGTGTGGACTGAGTGCGTTTAAAGAGCACACAATTACACGATCAGAAACAGCTGTCCATTTTGGTCATTGCACATTCTGAAGTGCATGGGATTTATTTTGTGTGAATAAAGTCTCGTCATATACCAGTTTTTGCAATGTGCAAGATTATTATGAACCTAACTTGTTTATGAATGCTTTTCATCTGGTTCTTGGTGAAATTGTGCTAATGTTCCCATTAACAAAAAACTAAAAGCTATGACCATTTTGGCAAGATGTAAAATCTGGCTCTGGGTGTAAAGTTATAGCTGTTGACATCATTTGAATGTTAATCGGTGATTGTTATTGTTAGGTTATATGTTGGCTTTGCTTGCTGTTGGCAAGGCCAAAAACAATTGATGGTTTGCCCATTGGATGAACGAGTTTTTGTTAAGATCTTGCAGAACGTTATGTGAAATATTACAGCTCCAGTTCTTGTCATCTTTTTATTTTATGATCCTGTGAGTTTTGAACTGCTTGAGTAAGCTACCCGGTCATCGTGCATATTTTCTAAACTTTGTAATTACAGTATCAAATTGTAGGTTTTTAAATCTCACGTGAATGGGCCCCTGGTTTTTTTTGTGAAAGTTAATACGTTTTTTTAATTTAATGGCAGCCTTGTTTAAAGCAGTATTTCAAATTTTTGGACAATGGCCGTTGGAATGCATATTTTTCTCACTCCATTTTGGTAACAATTATGTCCAATAAAGTACATTGGTTTTTAATGTTCTCATGTTTTTATTTGTGCTTTTCTGCCCGCTATAAGCTTGTTGAGTATCGTTTAATGGTTAGAAAATAAACGTTTTGAAACAATTTTCGACAACTCAAAGTTGCTTTTTAGTACACTAATTTAACGAGGTATTGCTCTACAGCTGATTTTCAAAACGACGACTACGTTTAAACAGCGATTTTCTGGTTCATTTTGCAGCATACATGCCATTTAAAGCAATTCAATGTAAAATTGTACACTTCCCTGGGTTATACGTGCTTCGAGCGAAATAATGGTCAGTCCAATTACTGGAAGCTGTGCAAGTTTTGACATTAAAACAACGAAACATCACGGCTGCTGCATATTAGATCAATTACCGATAATTAAGTGCAAAATGACACTGCATATGCTGGCCTTCCCAGAGGAAGGAACAAAAAAAAGGATGTTCACTTCACGAAAATGACATCCGTCGCTAAATATGTTGGGTGCAGTTTAGCGTTGAACGAGGGAAAGTGCATGTATATTTTTAAAACGACCCACGTTTTTCCCGACTTGGCTGCCCTTCGCGGACATTTCATTGTCCCGTGCTGCCTTTTCTGGACGCGTGTTTTTTTTTTTAAGGCTTTATTGTAGTTTCAGCCGTGCCTGAGTGGAGACCTGGAGTGGTTGGGAGGGATGTAATTGGCTATTGATTGCTCTTGTTCTACGGTGCGCGCCTCGAACGAGGCACTGGGTGGGGGGGGGGGGACGCGTGCCGACGGCTGTCGGTCGCATCCAATTCGTGTCCTTTCTGCACGGTGGCGCGGTGGACAGGCGGTGGACGGGAGTGCCGGGCCCGTCACGGGCACGCCTGCTCCGCCGCAGTGGCAAGTTCATTAATGCTTAATAACGTTGAGAGGACGTGGGGCAGTTTGGGGGAGAGGGGGTGATTGGTTGAGCTTTTAATTTCCACAACCTTCAGGGAGCAGTAATGGTGAGGGGGGTGAGAGGCTTAACTGTTGCACGTGCTGCACGTTTCGGAATCAGAATATTTATACTGGAGGAATCCGATGAGCTATGAAGCTCTTTTTTTCACAGATGTTTAGTAGGGGCGGGTAAAGACGTGGGAACGTTGAGTGAGCCCAGCAGTGTGTGTGTATATTGAGTGTGAAGGAGGTGCAACTGCACCGTGGCCCAGGCGCTGGGTTTACGAAGTGGGGTGGAAGGGCGGCACGTGGGGAAATCCGCAAATTTACGGAAATGTGGTGCAAGTGACAGCTTTGAAAAATAACATTCCGTGAGCAAATTGGCCGGGGAGGGCAGCAAAAAATCCACCACACGTGTACCATCCAGGGAAGAGTGGAGATTAGCTCTATCAAATTCTAGCAGTTGAATGCTCACAGCCCAGCATTATTTTGTCCATTAACTTCATGCCCTTTTACAATTGTGCATCCGTCGATTGTGGGACGGTTTGAGGAGTGGTGGGTGTAGTTGTTAGCACACTGCTATGAACCTGGCAACCGTGGATTCGATTCTTGGCCACCTGGGACAATACCAACGTCCCCGACGGGCACTTGAGAGTACAAAAAAAAACTCACGATATTTAGAAGGAGGAGTCCGATTAGCTATGAAGCTCTTTTTACAGATGTCCAGTATGGGGGGGTCAACAATAATCACACAATCGCCGACCCCGCAGACGAATCTCCCGGTTTGAATGGTGATCTGCACTTGAACCGCGTCAGAATATCCCATATCAATCTCCTACACCGATGGCCAATTATGAATAGGCCCATACGGTCATCAGTCGAAACCCTTTGTACGAACGCATTAACGCCACTCACTGCAGCGCTTCGGTCCTTCCACATTTACAAATCCACCTCCTCCACCCGTCCACCGGCTCGCAATGAACATATCAACACTGGACCATACGAAAGAAGAAGACCTGTAACCCTTTTTTTGTGAAGCTGAGTCGACTTAGGGGTGGCGCAAGACAAATTGCTTTGTTTACCGCTGATTTTAATGATATACAAAGACAAAGATCCCCCCCCCCCCTATAGTCTGAACAGACTGTTGGGGCAAGTGCTGTTTAGCGAGCACCTATGAAGGCCGGTATGGCGCACAAGGGGGTGGGTGGCTAACACCACGCCCGGCCGCCTTTATCTCTCTGGTGGTGATATTTACACACCGCACCAGATACTCATTTGAAGCTGAGGACCGGTTCAGATAATCGTCACTGGTGTTGGCCGTGAGCGGGATTCGAACTCGGGTCGAATCCCGCAGCGCGCTAGCCACTGCTTTATATGTGTCTATACACACTGAGAAGCCAATGGGACTCAGGGTGAGTTGAGCTGTCTTCCGCACACTCTCAAGCCGGGGATTGCAGTGCACAGAGCAAGTGTGCGGAGACACAGCAGAGGGCCTGGTTGAGCCACACTTGCCTCGCGTGCCGGTGTCAAATGAACGTAAACATGCCAGTCCCCTGGAAGAGAATTCATATATTCTCTTCTTTCACGTGGACGTAGCCGTGACGAATTTAGCCACGGTTGTTTGTGGCCTTTAATTACGAGTCGTGTACACTTTCCAGACAAAGCTTTCGCGTGTCGTCTCTGCATTAAGATTTGATGAGCAAATGACTGAGCAAGCAGGTGGCATGAGCAGAGTGGGAATGTTCGACTGCCTCGAGCCCGTGAAAGAGAATCAATTGTCCCCCAGGAATGAATATTCGGGAATATTGGGTTCCTTTCTGAATATTTGTTTCGTGGGTGTGGAGTCTTCAAGTGTATGGTTCCCAGAGGCAAACTTTGCACCAGTGAGCACTGGTGACTGTTGTGCTGGTGAGTCCGGTCCGCAGTTGTCTATCGCTGCATCACTGCTGCCGCTGTTCACATTTGCCCAAATTTATTTTGACGGTGGCCGAAGAAAAGAGGCCCATAATGCACTTCTTTAGGAAATTCTCTTGGTGTTTTGAAATGTGTGCGCAATGACTGTGTGATTTGAACACATTTTCACCGTTTATATATACCGTTTTTAACCAAGTAGTATTTCAACTACAATTTTTTATTTAAGATAGCTTTCCAAACGTATTTGTGCAACAGTTGTTCCGCTGTTTGCCTTCAGTGTAGTTTTCCTTTTTTTAAATCATCTCTTTTGGTCCTACATTTTCACTCACCAATGTGGCTTTTACAGCCAGAATCTTAACAAATATTCGTTATCTTGGGGGAACGGATACAAATATTCGCCGAATAATAGTTCCTGTTTGAACAAATAATGCTAAATATGCGCGGTGGGGGAAGACCAATATTTGTAGACTTTAGCAGTGTTGGTGAGCCCTAGAGGGCTAGGACACAGTGATCTGAGCCAAGAAGGTTAGGGGGGAACTGACAGAGAGAAGGGGGGGGGGAGGTGACATTAGAGACAGATCCTGGGTCCCATCAGCGGTGGCAGCTGAAGAGCAGGAGCTGTTAGCCGACCAGTCAGTCCGTCCGTCTTTGTTACACCGCCAAAGGAGCGGCCAGGGACGCAGAGTGAGGCTGGAGACTCGAACTAATCATGGCGAGAACCTTCTAACGTCGCAGGGTTGTAACACCGTTTCTGAAACATTAGCTGGAATACGGCTAAAGGCACCTCCGTGGTCTCGCGAGGAATTCTCTTCCTTGGCTTTGGGGGGTGGGTGGGGGGTCACTTCCATTCACCCAGTGAGCTCAAATTATCCTCCACGCCTTTTCTACGCAGCCTGTGGCCCAATCGCCGCGTATGCTCCCGATCTCGTCAGATCACGGGAGACTGAGCGGGGATGAGGTCGGATTGTGCTTGGTGACGAGCACGCACACACAACACACACGGGTCTCTTGCGTGGCCCGCGGGACCACGTGGAAGCAAGAGGGCCGTGCTCCACTTCTTATCCTACCACGTATTTGCCCTTCGATTCATCAGCCCCGCAGTGAAGCGGGCTGGTCAAGTCGAGTGAATTCATATTCTTAGGTTTTTTCGGTAAAGGCACGTTGGTAAAAATTTTTTAATAAAAGTAAAATAAAAAATAAAATGAAAATCACGACGTTTTGGAGGCAACACAAGCTTCCGTTTTCATGTGGCAACACAAGCTTCCGTCTTCAGTCACGAAAGCTTCAAATCTAGAATTAAGTCGAGTGAAATGCTATCGGTGTAAAGCATTCGTGTTGGAGAACGATCCTCGCGAGTTGGGGTATCGCAGAGCGAACCTCTGAGATACTTTCGAGTGAACTCTGGTCTACACAGAATGGAGCAGCATTGTTTTTTTAAATGAACGTTTTCTAACAATCAACAGAATCCGCGACCCCTGTCCGACCCTTTTCCTGAGCCCCCCCCCCCCGCCTGCAACTTTTTATTTGTATTTTACCAGGTAAGGTCCACTGAGCTATATAGCTTTTTATTTTCAACGACCTGGCCACATGTGATAGTTCAACGAAGTGGCTCATCGTGTGGAAATGTATTGCAGCCAAATACTCTATAAGCGTGTTTCTAAATGTGGAGGGAGAAACCAGAGGACCGGGAGAAACATCCACGCGACCACGGGGAGAGACAGAACATGCAAACTCCAAATATACAGGCGTCAGGGTAGTGGTCGGGATCAAACCCATGACCTCCTGTATACCAGGCGAGTTAGTTAACATCTCACCACCGTGGCGCCCTTCAAGAACATTTCCCCACCCCCTTCCACAGCGTCTTATGATACTGGTGGCATTCGTCTCGTTATGACGTCCAATCGTTGTTGCCTGTGACGCCCATGCTTTAAGACGAGCTTCGATGCAGCCTCGTGCCGTGCAGCCTAAGAGCGGATTCGGTGGAGAAATGAGGCGTCAAGCGGCGAGATCTCGCAGTCCCATGGCCGGTTGCTGAAATCAACCTTCAGTGAGCAATCTTCCTGAATTGTAACTTTGATCCTTATACCCGTGTGTCGATAGTTCAATGTTAATGCGGCATTTATTTTTATTACTGTGTAGGTGCTATCTTGGTGTGGCCTTGGGACTGTTTTTCGTGTTGCTTTTGTGCCTTGCCCAAGCTT